AGAGAGACACACAAGGAGGGGATTCACCTCAGAAAGTCCAGGAAAACCCTACAAGACCTTCCCATTCAACATTACATCTGTCTCATGACACATATGCCCTGAGTTGCTTCAAGTCCAAGGGCAGTGGCTCGGGAGTGGCTGAGCACACACTTTGGACACAAAGTTCAAACTCTAGCAGTGCAAAAGGGAGGACAGGGAGACCAAATGAGTGAACTAATGCTTCTAACAGGGAACACAGTTCTTCACACTTTTTGGGTCATGCTGTGCTTTCGTGTGACACTAAAATGTTTTAATGATTGATAGAAACATAATTTTCCCTTTCCAGAGACCATTCAATAGGCTCAGTATTAGGTATTTTTTTTAAAAATGTATTTTAGTACAGGGTCTCAGGGTTTCACTACACAGATGGGACTCAGTGATCCTCTTGTTTTCAGCCTCCCAAGAGCTGGGATTATAGGCCTGCGCCACCATGCCCAATCTCAGTCACTGTCTCAGCGTGCCCCAGGGGCAGGGCTGGCATAGCATGCCAGGAATCTGTCCCTGAGCCTGCCTAAGCAGGCCCTTTAGTCCCATGAGCTATCTGGCCAGCCCTAGTCTTAGGAACTTCGATAGTTAATGAGCACAAGGAACTAATTTTCTGACATCACAGAACCAGTTCCACAGTGCAGGGAAGCATACACAAGGTGCCCTCCGCATATATCTCTATGGCTTACTTAGGCCTGCTTGTTTTGAATAATAATGTAATTGTCCAAACCAGTGGTGCGAAGTTATGGCACACATACACAGCATTTCATTGATACTGACTGTATCAATGAAAGTTGTAAAAGGTTCACCATTAATGAACAATCTTTTTTTTTTTTTCCTTTTAAAGGGCTATGACTTGTTATTTACATACTGATAGACTAATGAAGACATCACCCTAGGACTGCTTTTATGTTTTGCTTTTTTCGCATTACAAAAAGTCATACGTTTTATACGAAGGCATGTCTTCTTTTGTAACTCTAATGCTCTTTAAAATAATCTTGCATTATTCAACGGCTAGATATGCAGGTGAAGTTGATATTGTATTGCTGATTCTAATGATCCCATTAAATGAGGACACATTTTATGTTGCATATAAGGAAAAGAAAACTCATGGTAATTAATAGTTAAAATTTATCTTATGCAATCTTGCTCATTTTACATGTAACAATCCATGACCTTCAATTTTTCTTATACTGTTTTCAATAGTTATAACACTTAAAATACAGAAAATATTAGTTCAATTATAAATAGTAACAATTAAAAGGACCTCAATCAAAATGTTTCTATTAATAATGCATTTTAATCACCAAAGTCATTGACCTCTTCTTAGATCTCATTATCTTTGAAACTCTTTCTCTTTCTTTAGTGAAGCCACTCATAACTCATTTGGGGACTCTTTAAGCTTCATTCCTGGGAAAATTTGGATTGTTGATTGCCCTAACACCGGTGTACCCTCTAGCCACTGTCAAACTTCTCTTCTCCACATCAGAATGTTTCCAGTGAGTACTCTACTTTCTCTCCCCTGCTTGGCCCTTTGGTTTAACCCTGGACTCAGTGCAACTGGGATTCTACCTCTATTGCTCTGTACCCAGGGGGCTTTGTAGAATCATCAAAAACTTTCAGTTTTTTTCCCTACAGACACTTACCGGTCTGCACCAGTGGATGCTGCTAGTGGGTTCTGGGCTACTGGTCACAGCTACCTAAAGGCTTTACTCCTGAGGCATTTATGGAAACACTGCTTCCTGGTCTGGCCATTCTTTTAAATTCTTATTTGTGGGCTGTCTTCCACCACTTACATTTTGAAAGATGATTTTCCTCTAGGTTCTACACTTGATCATCTTCTCTTATTACTCTATAAATCCTTTCCTCAGAAGATCTCCCACATTCTCATGTTATGAGACAGTCCCCATAGGATGATGACTTTTAAATTTATACTTCATTTCTAGACTTCTCTTTCTTGTGAACTACACACCTGTGAAATATCTGTATGTTCTGTATGCAGTTTAATAACATGGGAATATTTGTTATGACCTGCAATGACCTTTGCTATGAACCCTTTCTTTCAACTGTTTATATATTCAGGAATTATTCACCTACGCTCAAAACTCTAATGCCATGCTTGTCCTATTCTCTTTTATGTCCACTTAAACAATTACTAATTTGTTCAGCTTTACTTCACAAATAATTTTATATTGGCCTCTCTTTTCAATTTGTGCTCCCATTTCCTCGAATCTGTCTTTTGTCTGAATCACTGACAAGCCCCGAAGTCATCACCGCACCCTAGGCTGGCCTTTGGATTCTTTTCTACATACTTGATAGTTTCTCGAAGCACACCACAGCATTTCCCACAGCACTTGTGAGACTATGTGGCCATGATTGTATTTACTATGTTGAGAGCTATCCACCGGTTTGTCTCCTCCATAAAACTGATACTTTGTTAAGAAGGGAGAAGTGTTTCCTTTCTGTGTCTCTACACTTCCTCGGTGGCCAATGTGTGATATGGCCATGCTAACTACTGTCCGGATAGATACGCAGCACATGCCGCTGTCCCATGGCTGCACTTCCTCCTGTCTCTTCTCCCAGAAGGATTGGTCCATGTGATCTTATCTGTGTGTTTTCAGAAGAGTTATGTCGACAGCTCTCAACATAATAAATACAATCATGGCCACATGGTCTCACGTAAGTGCTGTGGGAAATGCTGTGGCATGCTTCTAGAAACTATCAAGTATGTAGAAAAGAATCCAAAGGCCAGCCTAGGGGGAGGTGATGACTTCGGGGCTTGTCAGTGATTCAGACGAAAGACAGTTTCTAGGAAATGGGAGTACAAATTGAAAAGAGAGGACAATATAAAATTATTTGTGAAGTAAAACTGAACAAATTAGAGGTTCAAACTTGGTAACTAGGCACAGAATGAATGAGTCAATGCTTACATTCTTACACAACAGCCTGCAATGAATTAGCAGCTTGAGACACAATCAAATATGCGATTTAGAAGCACGTTCAAAACTCAAAGTAATTTAAAACATGTTTATAAAGCCTTTAGGTAGTTCAGAAAATATCTTTCTATATTAATATGATCAATTCATAATGCATACATGTTAAATTATTCAGTGTGTTCAGCAAGCCTTTAGTATTTTTATTTCTAAAAGTTACTTAATCTTTGGAGCACAAAAGACTCCTTATATTTTGTATATAATATCTGGGAATACAGGGAGTCATAAGCAAAATTCAGAGATTTATGTAGCATATTTTAAATTGCCATAATGATAGATTTTAAGAAGTTAAAATTTTACATCATATACTGTGTATGTATATAAATATATATGATTTTTCATCACAGTAACTTGAAATGGAAAAATTGGAAGGAGAATTATATATTATTTGTAATGTTCAAGCACATAATAAATGCTTAAGCTACCAGGTGGGCTTTCACTTAGCTGTATATTAAAAAGTAAATTATAAGGCCAGGAATATAGCTTAGTGACACAAGTGCCTGTGTGGCAAGCATGAGGTCCTGAGTTCAAATCCACACACAGACACACAGACACAGACACACACACACACACACACACACACACACACACACACACAGGAAATTACAGAAACTTTATGGAAATTTAAGTATCATATTTTACTAACTAATTTCTATTGAGATAAAATCATATCAAGAATATGGGAAGGCTTTTTCCTTCTATTTCAACTTGGCACTCTCTTATAGTAACAGTAAGTCATCTTGCTATTCTAACTAATGTGATGAATATTACTAGTGTTTGCCAGACATCTAATAGCTAGAAAAAAGAGATACAGTCTTCAACATATATATATTTTTTTTACATTTGAGTTAGTTCTACAAGTTATGCAGAGTAAAAACTTACTTATCAGAAGTCTTCACTTCTATGGGAAATCAATATGCAGCATAATAGATATAGAATTCTATAGCATTTTGAATGGGAAACTAAGATGAATATAGATAATTTTAACTTTTACTTCCATTAATTTTTTTTTTTTTTTTGTATTTAGTGCAGTGTCTACAGGGTCTCACTACACAGATTGGATTTGTAGAGATCTTCCTGTTTTCAGCTGTCCAAGTTCTGGGATTACAGATGCATGCCACCACACCCAGTCTCAATGGCCATCTCATGGGACCCCCTGGGGGCGGGGCTGGCACAGCACACAGGGTGTCGAACCCCAGCTGCTGCACTCTGCCTAAGCAGGTGCTTTAGTCCACTGAGCTATTTGGCCAGCCTACTTTCATTAATATTAAACTAGCTGTTTATGTAACAGAATTAATTTATAATAATAATAGTGGATTATTTTAAAATAAATTTGCTGCTTAATGGAAAAAATTATAAAATAAAAAATAATGTAATTTAAATGCACCACATAGACTTCAAAATATGTACCAGAAGTATTCACTGAAATCAAAACAAATCTTCACATTCATATGAAAATAGGTATGGTTGTATAGTCATAACCCTTTATATTTCTTAAAGTTTCAAAAATATAAGGGAAAATAACTTTCATATTTAACTTTCAAAATTAATTGAATTTATTCTTAGGAGAATTAAAATTCAAAAATTTTTTGAGGGTATTTTAGCAAAAATTTTTACTTTGATTTTATGTTTAAATTAACTAATTATTTCCTACTGTATGCAGTTTTTAGCAATTAACTCAAGTGATTCCAACTCTATAGTTATAAGCACATATAGGAAACCACATGGACTTCAGAACTGTTTGACACCCATTCTTTTAGAACAGTCTTTATTTCTCTTGACTAAGAGGGAAATATACTATCTACTTAGGTGATTTACCATGATAGACAAAGTAGCTAATCACCCTAGTTTGTCCTAAATGTTTTCTATAAAATAAAAGTCCTATGACCTGGAAAATTGCTTAGTCCAATAACAAATCAGGATAGTTCTCAATCCTCCCAAGAGATGAGCTAATTTGAAAGTTTGAAACTCAGAGAGCCTTACCTTAACATCATTAGTGTTCATCCTGGTTCCCTCCTTCCCTACGAATATGTCATCAATGTCCACGAGGATGTACCTGTCCAAGGACAGTGTCAGTCTCTTCCTTGACAAAAATGAGATGGCATCTACGAAGATGAGCTTGTGAAGCCAGAAGTTCAAGTTGTTGCCAAAGAGAACTCGCTGAATTCCATCATGAAGGCCCAGGTCATGTATGATAGTGGCGTAAAAAGCACCTTTAGAGATGGGAGGGGAAAAGTTTTCTGGAGTCTTTACTTTGGCAAATATTACTGGTTGGTAGGCTGAGTGATTAATTTGAAAGACCGTCCAGTCAGTTCCAGGTAAAGAACCTTTTTCAAGTTTAGAAGACTTAGTCACACGAAGCAATGGAGAATGAGGATTAATACAACAATCTCTTACTGCAAGGTTTCCATATATGGAAAAAGGGAACCCTTTTAACTGAAAGCTCTGTAGGCTCTTCTCACTGGTTTTGTGGAATCCAATGACACCGACACCATATTCTACACAATATTTATCTAGAAGGCTTCGGTTCCAAGAGTCCATGTTAATATACTTTAAAATATTCTCATAAATAATGAGAATATATTTGCCTTTAGTTTTGTCTATCAGTGCTGGGAGATCTCCTTTTCCGGGAGCAATTTCAATGTGATATTGGAATCTGCTTGATTCTAGAATCATAATTATGTCTTGACCAAGGGATGAATACTGGCTTTCTACAAACACTAGGACTACTGGATCTGTCCTTGAGGCATCAAAGAGCTTTGTTGTCTTCACTTCCATTAGCCGGTAAGGTAGATGGTGGAGGTCACTGCAGTCTACTTCTGAAGCCATCTCGGAGAGTTCATTGTCCTGTTTGTAGCCACTGTACAGATAGTAGGCAGAAATAATAATGCTCACCATACAAAAAGTGGCAAGCAGGATCACTGTCCTTTGAAAGTGTCTGTGAAGCTTCATGATAAAACTCATGCTGTATATATGTTTTCTTGAGTATTCCAATAGACACACCATAAGTAGGTAAATGAAAAGATGATGTTTTGGCTTGCTTTCCCAGTCTCAGTCAATAGTTTATGTCACCATCGCAGCACATTTGCATTGCTTGATCAGGAATCACAGAAAATAGAGTCTGAAAAACAGAATAAAACAATAGAATATAATAATACATAGATTTAAAATGAGCAAGTTTTTATCTTGCATGAGGACTGGAGTAAGTGATAGAATAGTAAAACTAGTAGGTAGATATAAATTAGATATGAATTAAAACTGTTGTACGTTAGAAGACTACTCTCTTTCTTCCAGATCTGAATCTGCATGAGGCCTCCACTGAACATAGGAACTTTCTGCTTGATACAGAAATGGATACTTGGCTCACGAGGAATTTCCTTCCCCTCAGTGAGGTTTGTGTCAAGCTCTATAAACAATATAGACATAAGAACACAGGGAAGTTTCCTGAGCCATACATTGCTATTTCCTGCCATCCAGATATATTTCACGTAATGCATATTCAAGATTTTTCATGTTTAATTGGAGGCGCTAAAATTTCACAGAAGTTTGATCATAGTTTAATAAATGCTACAGTTAAAACACTGGTTGGAAATTTGTTAAAACAATCAATGCTGTCTTATATGCATTTTAAACTCACCAGAGAAACAACCTTCTATTGGCTGCTTTCATTCACAGAACCCTTTTAAAGCACAGATGTGGTCTCTGGTTGATTATTTCACAACTGTGTTTACATAGCTAGGAATTTTAAATTTCAGAAGGATTTTGTGTGTGCGATGCAACGAAGGCAGCAGTGCTCCCCCTGGAGTTCCCTCAGCCCCAGCTCTGAGTATCCCAACATGCTCCTGGGCACGGGAGCAGGGTTGCCTGCAGATGCACGCTGTATCACCCTGCCTCTGCTCTTCAGAGGGCTGTATGAAACAGTACCATAAAAATGTTTGAAAAAAAGAATGAACATAATTGAAATGTCACAAAACACTGTATGCAACAGTTTTTATTGCTTTATTATTATGCAACCATTTCAAACCCCTTTCAAGTCTTAGTGAGTTTTGAAAATTTAGTGTCATGGAAAATAATAAGAATGAAATATATATTTCTAAAGCAAAAGATTAGTAAAAACCTTTTCGTCTTGGCAGTTGTAAAGAAGTATTATAGAATATAAATGTTCTAACAAGCCTTAGCATTGTCCATACGGTTAAAAGCTGCAAGATAACAAGCACAAGTAGAAATCACTATTGTTGATGTTTGCTGTAAGTTTAGGGTTCACAGCACCCTTATTTCTTTTCACTCCAGTACCTTCCCAATAAAAGGATGAGGTCAGAATTAATGATTGATAAAAAATTATGGACTTAAAATTCTGTAATATTTACCTATAAGACAAGCAGTGAAGAACATTTTAAATAATGTATTTTTATCTTTATGAATAATATATTCTGAAATATAACCACAAGACATTTATGATATTCATCCTATAAATGTTATCTTATAGTTTATTTATTCAAATAGTTAGGGTATCTATGTCACTCATTCAAATATTCATAGGGTAGCTATTTT